AAAAAAAAAAATAGTGGAATTATTTATTATATTGTATGTACGTATGCTTGTAAGTATTTTATTGTGCTAATTTTAACACACATATTATAGATTACAAATGCGAGCTTATACCATAAAAGGATTTCTTCGCAATAACCTTTGAATAACTGAGAGGAAAAGTAGTTCCTGAATTTGCAAAAAAAAACAGAAATTTAATGCTACGTACTCAATATTACACAGATAAATTAATTATATCTAATTTCTATTGCGAACACATGTAAAAACTCAGAGAATTAAAATAATCGTACATTTTCAAAATCCTGCAAAAATTAATAGCGATAACAATAAAATTCGTAATGATACTGGGCTGCAAGTCATATGTTGTCGTTACAATAATAAATTAAACACAACATTTTAACTACAAAGTTAACAGGTTAACCTAAAACATGTAACACGGTTAATCACTAATACAATTACCCAAATAAAGTCGGCGAAACACAGCAATTTTGTTATCTTAACGTCAAACCCTAAAGACCACAAAAAGGCTCCAATCTCCACGGCTCATATGGCCAAATGGCCGTAAATTAGCCATACTATAAGAGGTCTTTGTTTCATACGACCCGAACCCTATAAATCTTTTAAGTCTTGCGTGTGACTGAGTTATTATATTGCAGTTTCTTTTTTAACTTTATTTTCATAAGATGCCAACTGCTGCACTCAGAAATAATATTTTTAACTGTAGTTCAAAATTTGTACGATTGGTACAGTAAAACCACTTATGGCACTGCTATTACAATAGTGTTAGAACTCAAATTATGCGAAATTCAAGATTAAACTATTGCTGAATGCAAAATTTTAATCTCTACGTATCAATACAACCGTCGTTCGAATATTGTAAGAAACAGCTAAAAGATATCTACTTAACTCAAAATGATGAAAACTTTTTGTGAGCTGGTTCTGGACAAAACAGTCCTTACTCAAAAATATAAAATTGTTACCCTTTATTATTTACATTTCCCTTTAATTTTTAAATATCAAGTAGGAAATTGTTTAGATATCATTAATAAGCATAATTGATAAAAACCAATAGATAAATATTGACAATTTATCACTGGAAGTGATTAGTTTTTCATCGATTATATATAAAGACACTTTTTGAGTTAACACACTCTTGTATTCACAGTGCGATATGATCATGGGTCAAAATTGCTCTTATTACATGAAAATAAAAATAATACGAACTATGTAGAAAAAATTATGTACAAAATGTGAAATTTTATAACTATCCTATTTAAACATTTATCGACTAATTCTGTTAATAAAATGTTGAGTAATATTCAGGTTAATTTTCTCTACCAAATTTCGGTGGCAATTTTTATTATTTAAATGTTCTAGAATATTATCATGAAGTATTATTTAATATTCAACTGAAAATATTATTTAATATTTCGCGATGACATACTTAAATAATAAAAATTGCCACCTAAATTAGGTAGAGGAAACTAATCTGAAAATTACTCAACATCTCTTGTTGAACAGTTGTAGTTTTGCAGATGTGACCTTATTATATGAAAGGTGAAAATTAACAAATATTAGGGGTTAAAGTATGAAATTGCCGTTTTATTGCAATAGGTTCTTTGAATTTTCATAGAATCTTCATGGTTTGAGGTTTTCGAATGAAACTTTTTTCAAATGATTTCTGTGATTTTTTTTTTTAATTTGAAACATTTGAATATCGACTTTCAATTGTTTTTGTTATTCAATTTAGACAAGAAAGATGGATACTGCGAAAATTCGAGTGATTTTTGAATACGAGTTCCGACGCGGAACTAACGCGGCAGAAACAGCCCGCAATATCAATGCTGCGTTTGGAGAGGGGTCTACTAATGAACGCACCGTGCGATTTTGGTTTAAACGCTTTCGTGATGGAAATTTCGACTTAAAGAACGAGTCACGAGGAAGACCGCCCACACAGGTGAATAACGATGAATTAAGAGAGATAGTGGAAGCCGATCCTAGTCAAACTACCCAGGAATTAACGGCATGGTTTAACGTTACCTTACCCACAATATTGACTCACTTGCGTCAAATCAATAAAATACAAAAATACGAAAAATGGGTGCCTCATGATTTGACTGATCTGCAGAAAGAAACGCGTGTTGAAACTTGTGTTGCCTTGTTGAACCGGTACAGAAATGAAGGAATATTGGATCGAATTGTAACATGTGATGAAAAGTGGATTCTTTATGATAACCGGAAAAGAAAAATGCAATGGCTGACCCCAGGTCAAATGCCACAACAGTGTCCTAAAGCAAAACTTACCAATAAAAAGGTAATGGTAACTGTTTGGTGGTCTCAGCATGGTGTTATTCACTATAGTTTTCTCCGATCTGGTCAAGCAATAACGGCAGATGTCTATTGTGCCGAACTCCGAACCATGTTCACAAAACTAGCAGTAAAACAGCCCCGACTCATGAATCGATCTTCACCATTATTGCTCCACGACAACGCGAGACCTCACACAGCACGAGAAACCATTTTGACCCTTCAGGAACTGCAGTTAGAAACCATTCGTCATCCTCCGTATTCACCAGACCTTGCTCCAACGGACTACCATTTTTTTCGTGATTTGGACAATTATCTACGTGACAAGAAGTTTTCTTCCCAGGAGGCAGTACAAAATGCTTTCACACAGTTTGTGCAGTCTAGATCGTCGGAGTTCTATCGCAAAGGCATTAATAACCTTCCCATTAGATGGCAGCAATGTATAGATAATAATGGCAACTATTTTGATTAAATAAATTTGTTAAAAATTTAAAAAATAAACAATTTAGATTTTCAGTACAAATCGGCAATTTCATACTTTAACCCCTATTATTTTACTACGACCATGTCGGCTTATTCTTTAATAAGGTTTGATATACTACAAAGAACATGTGTGTACTTTTAATGTCCTTTGGTAGAGCATTATAGTTTGTATTATTTATATTATTTTTCCTGTTAGTTATATAATTATTTCCATCCAAAGACTATCTGGCAACATTCGCTAAACAGCGATAAGACCACCTCTTATTCCATCGCTTATTTTTTATTTATTTTTTTGTAACGCACACACTCATGCTCGCTTTAAGGAAATCCTATATCGCGGGTGCCATGAACACACATAGACAACCATAAATTACACCCAAACCCACGAAAAAAATAAATATAGGCCATACAATTATTTCTTCTGGCCGGGGAATCGAACCCGGGATCTCTACGTGGCAGACCAGCACAGTAACTGTTCGACCAAAAAGGCAGTAATTTTATTTAAATGTATTATGTTTATTTCCATTTTGGTGCACAATAAGGAGTTTTTGTATTGTATTGTATATTCGGACACACATACCATTCCATAAATTTTTGTGGTAAGGGTTATTATAGCAGACCAGTGTATTTGGGTCCCTGACACTGCTACTATGTACATCCCTATCTCTTTTGTAAAGAGGTCTATGTTTTGTGTAATCAAGTAGGTTATGTCTCTCTCAGGGCAGTGCCCTTCAGATCTTTGCAATTTAATACTCAAACTGGCACTGCAACTCTCATGGATAGGCGTGTCACTTACTACCAGGCGTACAACTTGTTCGTCCCGTTGCTTGATATTATTTAAAAAAGTTAAGAAAAGTACAATAAATAAAATAAAATATATAATTTAGTTATAAATAAATTTAAAAAACGAATTCCCATAGCATATAACGGCCGTTAGAAAATCCAGGTTGCGTCGCTAATCATAGGTAGATAATATTGGGCAACCTTGAACTTGTCGAATAAACTCCTTTTTTTAAAGAGTACCACTAAAAAATATTTTCTGGAAAAACGTGAAAAAATTCATAAAAAAATATATTAAATTATTTATTTAAAAAATGTAGACTAGATATTATATTATTCTACCCATTTCCGTTGTTATCTACCTATGCTGAATAAATAGAAGGGGAGCATACTATTTTTAGCAACGCATCTGAATAAATCAATTGATATTTGTATATTTGACGAAAAAAGAATGATATTCTGAGTAGTGCTCCGAAATTAAATTAGTAGCTCTGTTACTAATAACTAATAACTCCACCAGTTGTTATAATGATTACTACAAAGATAGACGCAAAGAAAACTCTTCGACCCGACAGGACTTGGACCTGCGACCACGTAGTCGAGTCAGCAGGTCGACGAAGTTCTTTTGTGTGTCTTTTATAGATCTATGTATTGGGTTTCATTGGCTTTTAACTCCTTAAGCGACATCTTGTGAGAGATTTATGAACCTTTTCATTCAGCCGGTACTTTTACAGCAACCGCAAGCTTATCATTTATCATTAATAAAAGAATGTACGTATGTAGGAACCACCAAAGCTAAGAATCCCACGGGTTTTTGTGATTTTATTTTAGTAGCAAAATAAAATAGCCTTATTTATATTGCTTCTGTTCCACAATTCATTTTTTAATTTAGTTTATGGTAATTTTGACCATTAAGAACAAAGTTATTTTTAATTATGTGTAGTTTATTATTTATTGTAAATAATATTATGATGTTTTGGTATCATGATATTATTTTTTGTGAAATTACTCCACTGTTATAACAATACAAATATCGAACACAAAGAAAAATTCTTTCAACCTGCGTCTGTGCCATAGAGGGGCTACCGCTCTTCCAGCTGCGTTGCGAGCAGTTGCGAGACCTTAGAACACGCAGACCCAGACCTTACGAATTTTTCTGTGCGTTTATTACTGATCTATGTTTTTGATTTTAACGGATTTTTAGCCGTAGCGTCATCTCTGAGAAATCTATGAAAGGTTTTCATATTTAGTTTAAGTTATTAACTATCATTCGCTTTTGTGGTAGAGGAATAAATATATCGAGAGGAAATTCGCATAATTTGAAAGAATATTCACATAAATCTTCCAAGGTTAACTAGCATTACAGAAAAACCGAATCCACCAAATGCATGGGTTGATGCATACTGTACATTTCGAATTTTTCTCTTCCTCAGATTCCTGATCTTCACGTCAAGGCTAGTTGCCCTTCTAGTGCTTCATGCCGCTGGCGCTGGTCTAGCTTCTCCCACGGTCCTTGTATCCAGGCCAATTACATTGAAATTGGAATGGCTACCTAGCGACAACCAGACTCTGTACAGTTTGAAAGAAGGAGAACGAAGGAAGTAAGATACCGCTTTCTTGATTTCTTTCTTTTGACATAAAAAGTTCGGAAGTTTGTTTACCTTTTAACTCTAGTTTTGTAATGGTGGTCAGTACGCAAATTAAGATTTTTTTGTGTGAGCAAGTTTTTGTTTTTTACAAAACGTTAAAAGTATTACATTTAAGTATTACAAAAGTAGTACATTTGCAATGAATTTGGAAATATTAATATTAAACTACAAAAATAGAAAAATACACAAATAACTACTTACTTACTTGACCAGGTAGTGATCTTTACCCAAAACTTTAAAATTTTACTGTCAAAACGATAGACAAACATCCTCAGAATGCCATTGCCACTGTCACGCACTCGCTTCAACAGGGACGACACCTTTTTTCGCCTAATGGCATAAAAGTCATTTGTTAGCGCCTCGTTGAACATGCCGGATGCCCTGCAGTGCCATGGGAGTCCCAACAGCACCTTGAAGATGTTATTGTGCTGTACTCTCAATACATTGCATGTACGCTGTGTATAACTAACCCTTAACCCAGACTATACTAATTGACAGAAAACTTTAAAAAGCGATATTTTCACCACTTTTATACAAGAGTAAATCTACGGACCAGCATGTTTCCTCGCATAGCCTGTGCTCTACGCTCCCTTTCAATATCAAGGTCATCTTTTATGCTGTCAGTAATGAACTGATCAAGATATTTAAACCTAGATAGGTTAGTGGAGTAGACATTCCACTGAGAGGCGCACCACCAAGCATTAGCGACGTACAACATTTGGATAGCACCTACCTGCTATACAACAATTTCGTTACAAAAATTCGCTTCCATTCCATTCCGCAGCAATGTAAATCGAGCATTAGGCTTTCGACTATAAGAGACCATCGACAAATTGGTCCACTCATCCGCACGAGCTCGGTCTTCAGCTTCACCTATTATGTTAAAAGTTAGAAAACCAATAACTATCTTTAACTTGTTTCAGTCTACAGTTAAATACATCCTCAATATCACAAAGGCATGCCTTCATAACGATAAACCCTTGCTCAAGGGATTTCCACTGGGCGTTCTACCACGGATCATTAAACGATGATGGTAAGATAGTCTATTCTAAAATATTATGTAACAAGAACAAGAAAAGAACAAGAGTTTACTTGCTAATTAATTTACGGTACAGAGCAGGCTGTCGCGGTCGGTACGTTTTAGGCAAGACTTTATCATAACTTAAAGTGATGATGACAATGATTCTATATTTCAGGTTTAACATTGTTAAAGGAACATTCAGGCGCTGATACATCCGTGTTCTCAGTATTGATATCACAGTACAACAGATATGTCATAGAGGTAAGATAATTTTTTTGAATATTGTAGAATAATAATCTTATAGAAGTAGACGTAAAAATAGAGCAACAAACTTAAATTATTTTGAAGTTACACTGTTAAAACTGATTGCTGACAACGCGTGCTTCGAATACTGTTATGCATTCTGCAGATCGCATACTGCAGTTTGTGTGTGATACTACTGAAGGGCTAGCACGACAGGGTGCGACTAGCACGAGATACTGCTATTCTCGCAAAGAGATCTCCCGCTTTATGTCGCTCTCGCGCTAGTCGCGCTTGTTCGCGCTAGCCCTACTGGTGTGTATTAAATTTCATGAATTTCATCGATAGTTTTTTGCAAGTACTGTTTGCAGTCTGCAGCATTGTTAGGAGCTCGATAAAAACATCTCGAGACTTATTAGTTTAATAAGAACTAACAACGTGCTAGACTAATTATGTACTTGCAACTAAACTAGAGAACTTTCTGAATATTAGTATCAGAGCAACTCTCTCCGGGACACTAAACAGAACACTCAGACCAATACCAAATTAGACAAGTTAATTTCCCAAATTGGTCCTACCGGGAATTGAAACTGGGTCCTCCTCTTCCACAGTATGAACCGTTAGACAGACAAGGTCATCAGTCCCGTTTGAAATTGCTATTATAAGTCTCAAAATTCCTTCTCTGACCTGAGATTTCACCATTACAAATGGATACCAATCACCAAAAAACGAAGCATCGCTAAGAACAAGAACTCTACTCCTCCACCTATCCTCAGCACTATGATTAGAGTTGAGAAGGATAAAGTTCATTTTAGAACTTTTCCTCGGAATGTTACTTACGAATAAACATTCCAGATATCATCCACCAATGGCGGAGCCGCGGCGGTAAGCGTGCGCGGGGAAGCAAACCGAAACGTGCGCATGCGACTGCGAGTAAGATCTAGACGAAGACTCTCTGCGAACTGGGAGCCCAGGTATAATTCTAGTTTACTTGTTGAAGCCGATGTGCGATATTATATTATACACATTTAATAAGATCAGCATTTTTTATCCTTTTACGGATTTAGAGGGTTCTCTTTCGTAAAACTATTTATATTAATTGGTGGAATCATCGCATTGAAGTGAAATGCAATTGTGTTAATGCCCCGTATATTTTTTCTAAATCTTATGCTCAGGCCACACAGAGGCGACCGCGAAAGCGTTCCGGGCGCGGGAATTTTTGTAATGTAGCAGTTAGCGGTAGGTAGCGGCGACCGCGCGTCCCCAGCGCGTTTCAATGTGGCAGGGTTTACATAAACTCGTACATTACAAAAATTCCCGCGCTCAGAACGCTTCCACGGTTGCCTCTGTGTGGCCTGAGCATTAATAATAAAATGTTACTTTTTTCGTAAAGGTAAGTTTTTAGTAACAAGTTGTAGTAGCAGTAATATAAATAAACACTGATCATATATTTTAATGACATAGTCTTAACTTAACTCTGGGTTATATTGATACTTGCTCAGATTTTCAGTGACTCTCGAAGTACAGGGCGTCCTATTGGGGACCTATTTAGGCGGAAAAATATTTATTCCTCTAGATATTCTTAGAAAACCATGGGCTTCTTAGATTTTGTAAGCCGTCAAATCTCATGTAGAAAACTATGTAGATTATAAATTATATGTGATATATACCCACCAAAACTTTTGTTATTAGTTTCAATTTTTACTTATGTACTGTATATAATAGTGCTTGTTACATACTCTGCCTATTTAGTATTTTAAAGTTAATTATATCACACTGAAGCTGCCTAGAAGAGATTGCTACCTGGCAATAAGACAATACGTTGTACTCTGCTTTTGTTTGTATTCGTTCTTGTGTACAAAATACAAGGACAATCATTGTACAAATACAAAGAGCACAAATATTTTATTACTTGTATTTGCGTCGTAGATTGAGCTCATCGACTCACCTGTCAAATGCGACTATTCTCATTAATCATTTTTTTGGAGAGGCTCTGTGATGTTTTCTTTGCCCAGCGCTCGCATGATGATATTTTCATTAACTACGTCACTATTTAAAAGGCAACACATACAAGGATGAGATGCATACAAAATACATATTGGTTGAGATGCAGAAACAGGACTCTCAGCTAGAAAAATCAAAAATCGAGAAAGATGAAAAAAATTATCTCACGTTTTTAAAAATTACTTTCCAACTTAGGTTTTTTTAACGCCTAGCATGGACAGACAGTATAGACAGTCGTTATTTTATTATAAGTACAATCACTTGTTAAAATATTGTCGAAACGTTATGCTCATCGTTATCAATCCATTTAGATTAACGTCCCACTGCTGGGCACGGGTTTCCTTTCAAGCGAGGGTTTAAGTCGGTTTGGCCACACCGACCCAATGAGAGTTGGCAACTTTACACGTTTTCCGAAGGTTGATGGAGGGACCTTCTTCGACGTGGTTTCGGCACGATTTAAATTCTGCGAAACTCAGAAGTGCGAAGCCGGATTCGAACCCACGGTGTTTTGCTTGAGAATCGGTAATAATAAGACTAATAACGTTCACACTCAACATGACCCGCACAAATGAAACTCTGTGTCGCGGGTGCCATGGACACACACATAGACAACCACAAATTACACCCAAACTCACGAGAGAAATAAATGTAGGCCATACAAATATTTCTCCCAGCCCGGGAATCGACCGCTGTGTGGCAGTTCGGCATGGTAACCGTTCGGCCACTGAGGCAGTTAGGTCTAACCAGGACGCGTTTATTCGACACGAATTTTACCGCGCTCACGGGGACCGCTGCACGCGTGGCCGCCGCGCAGCGACCGCTTGCATCTGTCACGGCAAAATATGCTCTATTGTTTAGTTTTTACGTTTTAAGGAATTTAAATGTTGTTGTCTAGTAAATAGAACTCAGATTCGCCATTAATGTACGTGAAAGCGTGCGCTGCATGCGGCCGCGCGAAAACTTTCGCATCGTGTAACTGGGCTTTTTCACCAAGGCCTCAGAACTATATGCTACACGCTGCATAATGTACCTATTCGTTTTTTTGTTGTGTCGGTAGTTGTATAATCGCTGCCAAACTTGTATAAATTATATCCAGAATGTAATAAACGATATTAAAATTTATTATATTTGACAATCACTTATGCCAATGGCAGTAGCGATAGAGCTATGTTAGGAACGTAGCCAGATGAAATTTGTTTAGCGTGTGTTGGTATATTTATATTCATGATTGCGTGTGTCATCCTAAACATAAGCCACAAATACTCACTCCATCACTGTAGCCCAATAAAAACTTGCCAGTCCCGTTAACCATTGCTCTCACGTCCTATAAATCGGATCTGTCCGTCTATCCGTCACGAGAACACGTATACGTGGATTTATGACACGCACCGTGTATGGAACTGATATGAGTTAAGGGTAAGTCAATTTTTTCCTCATGCGTAATACATGAGAAAAAACTTAACAATTTTTTTTTTTCACTTTGTATGGCCAGACTCGTATTGCTATTATAGCAATGTCAATACTTTGGGCTAGGTAGCTACCAGCCCTTGGGTCTCCTACATCCTCTTACTTTTCCGGATATGATTTTTGCAAAACGAAAGGACACTGGGACTAAGGATCAACCGATATTTCGTGCGAGTAAATAGTCGTTGACGAGGTCCCAAGTTTACGGCTTTTTAATCTATCCGCCAGCTCATTTGCGGACCCAGTCTGCCTTAGTAGCAGTAGAGCTTCTTGTGAAAGAGTTCCTCGAGGGAAGTACTTGCCACCTTACCTATTTTTTGCCGCCTTTTTTGAAGGGTAAGCGTGCGGTGAAATTACAGCCACGTGGGACTTGACAACTTGTGTCTCAGGGTGACAGGCGCGGTGGCAGTGCCACTCAGATCTTAGTGACTTAAAACTATGAGTGGTATTGCAACTGTTATGGACAGGCTTGTAGCTTACCAAGCGCATGACTTGCTCGTCTCGTCACTTTATATTATATAAAAAAGCCATCTTGCTAGTTTATGGAGATGGGACGGAGTCAGTAAAAGCATAATATATATATATATAGTCTCAGTAATTATTAAAACAAAGACGTACATAAAAGAAAATTCCTTCCATCTAACAGGACTTTCGAACCTTCAAACTAGGGACGCAAAAACGCTACGCCCATTAAAGTCGAAAAAAACCAATACAAAAACTTTGTAACAAACAGAGAAATTCACCAGGTCTGCCTTACTCAATCCGTAGTTCAAATGGCAGAGCAGTAACTCCAGTTTAGCGTAACGACGCACGTTCGAGTTCTGTCAGATCGAAGGAACTTTTGTTTGTGTTCGATCTTTATATGCCTATGACTACTGCATAGAGTAGATAATAAGAAATAAAGACGAAATAAGGGCCATCCATCAATAATTAATTAATTACACAAAATAAAAGTACAAGCAAGAATAAAAAAAATCATGACGTGTAAATTCAAAACGCATCCGTAGATAAACTTTTTCTTTTAATTAACTGATGTTTTATAGTTCAACTGTTTTTCTTTTATCTACCATTTTCCTCGCTATAGTGAGGTGAAAAGTTGTTTCGCTCGACAGCAAAGTTGTTTTGCGTCCCGTGGCTTGAAACCCTCCCTTCGCTCAGAAATCAACTTTTGAACCACTCGCATCGCTCAGGGTTCAATCTTAGCTTCCTTCACCTGCTCAGGTTTCAATACAATCACTCGCGTCAAACAACAACTTTGCAGCCTTGCATAACAAATAACTATAGTCTTCTAGTAAATAACTGGGCTGAACCAGACGGCAAATTATTGAAAAAAATCTAATAATAAATTTTCTCTATTACCTGCATAATGTTTATACATTTAAATACACGTAACAGATCTAAGGTCGATTTTCGCGCGATTGAGAAAGTTACAACGTGGAAATGTCGAAAAAAAAATAGCGTATGTCGAGAGTGAGCAATTTTGGTATCTCAAAATCTCATGGTAGATATAAGTCGGTGCTCAGTGCTCGATATAAAATGTTTGATCGGAGGCAATAGATACCTAATTACCTTTCGTAAGGTCATGTGAAAATGAAACAGACATGGCAGGAGTTGTTATCTATTTGGATATGGCAAAATGTTGACATGAATTTTACTGTTGAAAGACATTATTTTAATATTAAAATAACACTCTCTCTCTTTCTCATCTGAGCGTTGTCCCGGTTGCGTCCTCAGCAGTGTTGCTGCGGAGCCCGGGGTCCGCTTTCCTGCTTTTTCTCCTCCACTTTGCACGGTCTTCGGCATCCTTAGTGGTGAGACAACATTATTGAAATAACACTATGCGTTTCATAACATCCAATTATTTCAATCAAAACAAACTGACAGCTTTTGATTTTTTGGTTAAAAAAATATTAATTGATTATATTTCGAAAACAATAATCGCACCGCTCATGGAAGAATGGCATAAACGCCATTACCTCAAAAACGTTTATTGCTCTATAAGATACAGAAAAATATAACCCACATTTTCTCCAATTCTGGTAACTCTATCGACTAATATTGTAGATAGAGAGAGTTACAAGTATTGTAGAGGATGTGGGTTATATTTTTTTGTATCTAATGGAGCAATAAACGTTTTTGAGGTAATGGCATTTATGCCATTCTTCCATAAGGGGTGCGAATTGATAAGATCGAAACATACAGCAATTAAGATTTCAAAATTTTATTGTATCTCTACATAGAACGAGAACAAGATTTTTTGAACAATGTCTTTTGTGTGATCTTTTTGGTAGACTTGAGAATGCGACAATATTGCAAAATCGAGGAAATGTTGTGGAATGTGGAAATCTTACGACAATTGATTCCCAGGATACCGTCATCAATCATACTATTGAAATTTCTTAAGCTGACATTTTGACGCAGGTTTTCCTCTTAACAAATTCAATAGGGCATTTATGAATATTTTTGGTGAATATTTTAATACTCACGTTCCGGGTTAGATAGTAAA